GCCTCACCTCCTGGACGACGCCCTGCAGCTCGCGCCCCACGCCGGCCTTCACCTCCGAGCGCAGCCTTGCGCGGTCTGGCGGGAGCAGCCCTTCCAGCTCCTTCTCGAACGCTCCCAGGAGCTGTCGCTCATCCTCGTCGTCCTCCTCCTCATCCTCGTCTTCCTCCTCTTCTTCCACCTCATTCTGGGGCTCGGGGTCACCCCTGTGTCTCCCTTCGGGCTCCCCGGGTGCGGCTTCTGCAGCCCCGTGCGCCGGCCGCTCCTGGCCCGCACTGGCCTTCCCCTGGGTGGGGAGCAGGAGAGGTAGACGGCGGTGGGGGCCACGGGAAGGCGGGGGGCGCGGGGGACGGCAGGAGTCGGGGCAGCGGCCCAGCCCCGACGCGGCCCACACCTTCCTCGCTCCGCCCTTCAGCTCCTCTATCAACCGAATCAAGTCCGCGGGGCTCCGGATGACTTTGACCTGCACGTTGTTCTGAAAATCTGGGGTGAAAGAGTAGGAATGACCTGTTGTGCCCCAAATCCTCTCTGATCCTCCTAGGGGAAGGACAGAGTCCCTGTCTGGTCAGCGCGATGGAGCCCAGCAGAGCCCCGGGCATGGCCCTTCGGGGCGTAGGGGGACGCTGCAAGCTGCCTGCTCCTCGCGGCAGCGCGGGGCCTTCCTGGCCGCCCCTCGGCCTCAGGGGCGTTCCGAGGGGGTTCTGGGGCGCAGGCTCCGGCTGAGTCCTATTCGCCCCATCCACAAGCAGAAAGCACTTATTCAGGCCCAGAACAGTGGCTGAGTCCCACTTCATGGGTCAAGGGTCACAGGCAGCAGGCGGCCGCGGCCGTCACCTGCAGGGTCCCCCCCTGCGGGAGAATCGTGGGGCCCGGCCGCCCGGAGTCCCCCCCGCGCACCCCTGCGCCCGGCCCTCCCACCCCCAGGCGAGCGGCGAGGCGCCGGGAGGGGCTGCTCACCCTCGGGAGAGCCTGCAGCTGCGTCGGCCGCCTCGAGGCCCGGCTCCTGCTCCTGGGGGAAGGCTGCAGTGAGGCCGGGGCCAGCCAGCCCTCCCGCCCCGCGGGCGCCCCGCAGTGCCCCGCTGCGGAACAGCCCGGCCGCCCGCACGGGCTCCAGAGGAGAGCCTGGGTCACCTCAGTCGGCACCTCCTCCCCTCCCGGGGCCGGGTCCTCGGGCTCATGCAGCATCTTCCAGAAATCTGGCTCCCTGCGGTCCTCCTTGCTTGGGCTGGCACCTAGGACCCGGGGGGCGGGGGGAGGCAGAGAGGGGTGAGAGGCAAGGGGGCGAAGAAGATGGGGGACGTAATGCTCGCCCCACCCCCAATGGCCAGCGCAGGACTGGGGGGCAGCAAGGCCGGAAGGAGATGGAGACGTGCTTCCTGGCAAGGCGAGGCGAGGTCCGACCTGCTTTCTCCGGGGGCGTCCCCTCAGGCTCGCGGTCACTCCAGACCGGGGCGGCCAGGTCCTGCAGATCCGCTGTGATCTTCTCCCCGGGCTGCTTTGAGTCTGCTCAGGGCGGGCAAGACAGGACGGCTCTGGCGCAGCGCCCCGCCCGGCC